GGCGGGGGGGTGTTGTCTGCTTACTCGCGCATCTTTAGAGCAAGTGCATGTGAAGCGAACAGATGTGTGAGCACTTTTGCTCAAGCACACACTTCATTGATGTCTTGGTTTTTTACTGGCTGGCCTGGGATTTTTCTTCTGGTAACCTGTCAAAGACTCGTGTAGATACACATGGGTCCATGTGCCTCATCCGTGTGCTGTTCCTCACTTATTTTTGCTATGCTTTGTGCATTTGCTGTAAACTGTTGGGCAGCTCTAGAAGTTGTATTATTCACCAAACAGAATTTGTCCTGGTCTAGTCTGGCCAGCTACAGTATTCGGGCCCTCCTCACCCCAAAAGACCCTCCTTCCTATATGCCTGGTCTTTTCTGGGTTACGGACAGGGAATAGAGTCCCAAGAGAGGAAGAAGACGACAAACCAGAGGCATTCCCCCGGAAGAAAGTTCCACCCCTCTACTCTATTGGACAGCCTTAAACCACCACCGCCTCTGATCCTCATTTTGCTTCCCCACTGAAGTGTCACTGCGGTTTTTTCTTTTTTTTCTTTTGGCTGTTGCCCGAGCCTCTGAAGAAATTGGAATGCTGCATTTTCAACTCTCAACGTTGCCTGGGAGACGTAGTGGTACTGTGGTGGTTTAATCAAAGATATGGAGAGAGGTCATGCCCCGAAAACTCCAGCACTCCAAATCATCCCTGGACCTTGACTGGTACACCCTTGAACTGTTGAAATACAGACCCAAGTTCGAATCCAGATGCGATCAGATGAACAGAACCTACCTGGGGACGGTCAGTTTAATGATGATATCTCAAGACCGTCGTCATCCCCGGACATTGACCAGCAAGGACAAGACTCGAGGTGGCTATCTTGGGTGGCAAGAGGGGGTACGGAGGGTTCAGCGACATATGGAATGTCGGTCCGAGCACCGGGTTAATGAGCCTTGGATACGAGAACACCTCAACGGTGCCGACAATCTGAATCGCAACCGGGGATGCATCGTGAGAAGCACATCTCTTGTTCAAAAAATCAGGGTAGTGGGTCTTGGGCCAAAGACTAGTTTTCAAAAGAACTCAGCATTACAAGATGCTGAATGCGATCCAATAGAATGGGCATGTGTGAAGCTCCCCAGCTATAGATGGAGCCTTCAGTACAGGGACCCACTTTTTAAGAGGGGATGCTTTTATTAACTTTTTAAGTGGCCCCCCCTGGCCTGGAGTTTTTGTGAAAGAAAAAGGAAAAGAAAAAGAAAAGAAAAGAATGGCCACAGTAGACCAAAGCAGGCGGTGAAAAAAAAAACAACCCTAAACCCTCCCATAAACGAATTCTCAGTCGAGCTACCGTCTTCCCCTAAATAGAACGGACGGTTATTAGTGCTGTATCTATAGACTGAAAGTTGCCCAAAATACAGCTTTAACGACCGTATGCTCTACCCGGGGAGAGACGATAGGGAGGCTACGCACTTCTGCTGAAAACTAGAGACCTTATGCCAGCAATTAAACGAGGATGGGCGAGACTAATACTTTCAGAGTGAGAATACGATGGAGAAAGTTCAAGATCATAAGACCACATGAGTTTTATTATTTGGCTACATATCAGGAGGAGGAAGAAGGACCACTGCGTTGCATGCTCTGACTATGAGCCAGGAAGATTTGGTTCGTTGGCTAGTAAGATGTAAGGAAGGTATGGGATACGGGGCAAGAGCATCGGCTATCCATGATGGAGCCGCGTATGAGACCCCAGGTTTCTGGAAACCCAATTCAACTTCTCCTCTGGACTAGCTATCCTGCTGAATTCGGCAGCCAGAAAAGGTGCGCTTCGGATTGGTACGCAAGATGGCGATCTGGGCTATCTTTAAGATAGAGGCAGGCAGGATTACTGCAAGGAAAATGAGCAATAGCGAGAATACAGAATCCAGATTGCACAATCACATTGAAAGCCAGAAAGTTCCACAGTGTCCAGAAAGTAGCATTGCACCAATAATACACCAATGGAGAATCGTAGCACTGAAACCGAATGTCAATGAGAGCTTACTCTCGTCTCCACCAACATAAGAGTCCAGGCCCTTCCCCCTACTTGGCGCTCGGCGCCCAGACTACTCCCACACAGCCACTGTCTGCCTAAGAATTGACAATGCAACTGTTGACGTCAGCAGCCACTGAAGTACACGAGGATGTCACCCAATGCAGACCGTCGCCGATACCAGGTAGGAGCCCTCACATCATCATCCTCATCTCTCTCTCTCTCTCTCTCTCTCTCTCTCTCTCTCTCTCTCTCTCTCTCTCTCTCTCTCTCTCTCTCTCTCCTTCGTCTGTCTCCCTTGTCTTCCCTGTGTACACCCGAAGACCACCACTGCGCCTTGCTGTATGTCCAAGCCCAGCCAGCTACGGAAGCTGGGCTATGGTGCTGCCCTCAGCAGTGCCCTTCTTCACACATGACCGCACGTGCACAGCACCTTGCCCCAGCGCAAGCAACAGCACGGGAGCAATCGCTCCAGCAGCGCTGCCGCAAACTAGCAAGTGACCGAATGCGCTGCCAGGCAGCGGACGCTTTCTATATGGAAAGAGTCTGGCCTGGCCTGCAGCCTGTCTGCGCTGGGCCAGCGCCCAGAAGCTTCCGGTAGGCCCCAGGTAGCTGGGCCTCTGCTGCTGCTGCTGGGCCTCGTTCAGTTACGCCTCCCAACTGTCTGTGTATGTTGCTGCGAAAGTGGCCCAGTGCCTGCATTTCAGAAAAAGGCCTAGAAGGCCGTGGAAAGTATTTGCTGCTCGGGTCCTGGTTTCCCTCAACCAACTGACGCGACACAACTGCCTGAGCCCCAAATATGAAATTGACAGCATTCCGCCTCTGGTGATTTGTTAGGCCCGTCTCCACTTAGGGCGGGCACACTTGCATAAGGGGCTCCTTAGGCTTGCTGAGAAGCCACATCCTCGCATTACGCTCAGTGACACAAGGAATGCTGGAGAAAAGGTTTGGGTAGGGACCAAAGACTTCATCGAAGCGAAAATTTTCTGCACGTGGAGAAATGTGACGTGCTTGTCCAGAAAACGCCAGACTCAGAGCCGAAAATTGCGTGCAAGGTTTAGTCATGTTGGTTAGCAACTGGCAAGGTGGGAGCCTCCCAGGTTTTCAGAATCCAATGGAAGAACTGGCACAGCTCAGAGACGACAGGCAGTCGTTTGGATATTCATCTGCTAGAGCTTCATCAGGCCTTAGCATGGATGTGGAAAGACAGAGGTGGCCATCGACCGATGATCAGCAGAGAAACGGGGAAAACTGCAGACCAAGTCTTCAAGCTTTTCCATGCACAATTCTGGCATTTCAACAAACAAATTTGACAGAATTCTCTAACCGAGTCTGAGAGGAATATGAGAAGGAAAGGTCAAGGTGAGAGTCAATCCTCCCTCTTGCAGAGCGATCAGTGCTGATCGGAAGTGTGAGTATGTGAAGGTTGTATTCTTATGACTTGCCAGGGTCAATGCTCCATCTTGCGGATTGGTCGATGCTGACAAGCGGTCCTTCAGCCTGATGGAAGGAAGCAGTGGAATGTGGCAGTCGTGTTCTTATGATTTGCCAGGGGAAAAGTAACGGAACTGAAGCTCCCCAGAATGGATTCGGAGTGAGGACCATATGGACCTGTTTCAGTTTCAAGAAAAATGTCCTAGTTCGTCTCAGAGTGGAACTGTTGCCACACACTATGCTAAAAATCAGGTTTGGTTGTATTTTGCGAGAATCTGAGTCCTCGGCAGGCCTGAGGGGCCCCTGCTGCATCTGCGCCCGCCCTAAGTGAAGGCGGGCCTAATAAATCATGAGAGGCCCTCGGCTGTCAATTTCGTATTTGGGGTCCAGGCAGTTTTCGTCGCGCCAGTTGGTTGAAGGAAACACAGGCCGAGCAGCGAGGAAATTCCACGGCCTTCTAGGCTTTTCCGAAAGCACAGGCCCTGGGCGAGATTCGCAGCCTCATACGCAGACACTTGGGAGGCCCAACCGAATGAGGCCCAGTAGCTGCACCAGAGGCGCAGCATCCTGGGGCCTACCGGAAGCTTCTGGGATTAGGCCCAGGCCAGCCAGGCTGCGAAGGCAGACAGGCTCTTTCCATATAGGAAAGAGCTCGATGCCTGGAGTGGCATTCAGGCACTCGCTGGCTGGCGGCAGCGCTGCTGGAGCTTTCGCTCGCGTGCTGGCTGCTAGCGCTGCAGCAAGGTGCTGCGCACGTGCGGTCGTGTGTGGAAGCAGGGCGCTGCTGAAGGCAGCGCCATAGCCCACCAGCCTCCATAGCTGGCTGAGGGCTTGGTTGTACAGTGAGGCGCAGGGGTGGTCTTCGGGTGTACTGAAAGAAGATGTGGGTGTAAGAAGAGAGAGAGAGAGAGGATGATGATGATGATGATGATGATGATGATGATATGAGGGCACATACCTGGTATTTGCGATGGTCTGCATTGGGCGACATCTTCAAGTACTTCGTGAGCTGCTGACGTCAACAGTTGCATTGTCAATTCGTAGGCAGACTGTAGCTGTGTAGGAAGTAGGCTGGGCGCCGAGAGCCAAGTAGGGAGATAGGGTCTGGACACTCATGTTGGTGGTGGCGAGAGCAAGCTCTCATTGACATTGGTTTTCAGTCTTACGATTCTTCATTGGTGTTATATTGGTGCATTTCTGCTTTTTGGACACTGAGATACTATCTGGCCTTCAATGTGATTGTGCATTC